TGCCTCACAAAGAGATTTAATTACTAGAGTTAAAAAAAAAAGAATTAATTTTATTCATTAATATTTATTTATTGAACATCTACTATTTGCTAAGAGTATTCCAGAAGCTTGGGGATTCAACAATAAATGAAACAGACCTTATATGTGCCCTTATCAAGAAATATGATCTGAGCTGCTTTTGGTGGCACATGCCTATAATCCCAGCAGCTCTGGAGGCTGAGGCAGGAGGATCATGAGTTCAAAGCCAGCTCAGCAACTTAGTGAGATCCTGTCTCAAAATAAAATACAAAAAGGCTGGGGATGTTGCTCAGTGGTTAAGCACCTCACCAAATTTTATATATATATTATATATATATATATATATATATATATATATATATATATATATATATGTATATATACACACATATATATTTATAAATATTTATATATGTATATATGTACACATATATATATTGGGTTTATGTGTGTGTGTGTGTGTGTATCTCACCAGCACAGGAGATGTCTCTCTGGGGTCCTGGCCTCTGGGCTGCATTTTCCCCTGGGGTCAGTATCAAGCGGGTGAGCTCTGTGAACTTGGGGCACCTAGTACTGTCTCTCAGTCTGTTGTTCCCTCTCCACCTAGGAAGTGAAATGCAGCTTCAGTTTGTCTTACCTCACAATAAAAAATAATTTGGGGGGCTGGGGATATAGCTCAGTTGGAAGAGTGCTTGCCTTGCACGCACAAGGCCTTGTATTCAATCCCTAGCACCAAAAAATAATAAATAAATAAATAAAATTAATTTGTTTTAGAATTATTTATCATATTTAGTAAATTCATTTATGTTTGGTAACACAAACATACAGTGTTTAGTAGCTATTAAGAATTATTCTCAGCATTTTACAGAGGCTACTAAAGGAAACAAGAATTTTTTTTTTTTTAATTATGATGATTTCCAAGTTCTGGTTTGTTTACCTGTCAATGGCATTTAATAACGTGGCAGTAGAAGATCAAATGCAACCATTCAATGAACATCTGTTGCATTTTTATAAAGAGATCAGTTACAGTCTTTTCAGTTCTTGCTATGTGCAAAGTAGGGCTAAGTACTTTTTTAATGTACTGTTACTTATTTCCTTCAAACAACCCCAGTGGACTGGAATCAGTATTTTCCCTACTCTACATTTAAGAAAACAGGGCTCAGAGAGGTTGAATGATTTTTCCCAGGGTCTCAAGGCTGGTACCCCAGAATCAAACCCTGCATTGACTGAATCCAGAACTCAGAGATTGTTTGGAGCCACATCCTCCATTCCCCACCTAATAGACAACAGGTGCAGTTCCAGGTGTTGATTGAGTCACTGTGCCAGACCTCCAGGAAGTATGTGTTGGTGGCCCAGGAGTGATGTACATGGACACTCTAGTGTGGCTTACAGGGAGGGATTCACCTATTTGGGGGTGGGGGGCGGGTAGGGAGGGAGTGAAATATAAGCTTTGTAGAAAATATGTGAAAGTAGTAGAGAAATTGGTCCTTCATGGGGGGCAGGATGGGATAATCAGAGCAGTGTCTTGGGCCTTAACCATGATGTGCAGCCTAACGAACTAACTACAGCCAGCTTTGTTCCGTCCCTGTGTAGAGATAAATTACACCTGGAGATGGTTATACCTTATCCCTCTCCACTTCACACCTTCATGGTCATGGATAGGTGTTTTCTAGGAAAAGTTACTTTCCTTGTTCAGGTTAATTTGTTCCTTGACTATTAATGGTGTTAATTGAGTCTATACAAGTCTTATAATATGGCTGAAGTATTATGATGATATGACTGACCCCAAAGAGTAACAGCACCTCATTAATTGATATTACTATTCAATACACCTCCCCTGCCACCCACACCTTCCCACCTCCCCCTGACCAGATCTCCAGTGGGGATGATATGATTACCTTTACCTACAGAAATGCCATTCTCCATACCTTTTTCCAGAAGGTCAAATTTATTCATTCAATCAATGTCAATTGCATTTTTATAACAAGATTGGTTACAAAATTTTGAGAGCTTACAATGTGCATAGCGGAGTAACTCTGCAAAGCAAGGCACTTATCTTTTGGCAGTGGTTTTTTTTTGGGGGGGTGCTTGGTTATGTATTGTCATTTTTTTTTCTTTTTATCTCACTGGGACCTGTATATATATCCTACTTCATGTACAACGTGTTATAATAGTTAACTTTGTAAAGTACTTTAACGTCTCAAGTTCTTCTCACATGCTTTAATTCAGCTAGTCTCCCCAAATCTCTGGAGTTCTTAGATACCAATATAGTTGAAGAAACCCAAATTCAGAGGCATTTATTTTTCCAATGTCAAAAATAACAAATCAGGGTGTTGGGGTTGTGGCTCAGTGGTGGAGTTCTTGCCTAGCATGTATCAGGCACTGGGTTTGATCTTCAGCACACATAAAAAGAAATAAAGATGTTAAAAGAAGAAAACAGTTAACTATTAAAAAAATAATAAAAAATAAATAAAGGTTGTCCCCAAAGAACAACCTTTTGACTCAAAGCTGGTGTTCTTTCTGGAGACTGTTACTATCATGGGGACCCAGCCACCATGCTGACTTGCCCTACACTGCATCTAGACCATTTGGCACAGTACCAGGCACACCATGGGTTTCCAATCAATACCTGTTAATTGGTGAAATGGACAAATAAGTCAATAAGGCTTCAGAAATTATCTAACTCAGCTTTTGATTTCTGTAGGTAATAAGATGGGACCTCAGTAAGATTAAACGGACTATCTAAGGATGATTTGTTTTAAACCTAGAACAAGTTTCCCCTCATAGTAGTCCGTTGCCTATAGTTTCCATTATGGTTGTTACTGTTTTTTAGACTTTTAACTCAGCCAGTTCTGGTATCAAGTCACGTATTCTTATTATAATTGCTCAGTGAAAAAAACAGTCATGCTGGTGTTTGAGAAGGGGAGAGCCCTGAGTGTCCTCATGCATTGTGGCCAAAAGAATGTTTGCTGAAAAACTATTTTCTAAGTGGTTAAAAAAAAAACAAACTGTATAACCCAGAGAAGAACAGAAAATAAGCACATTATTGAAATATCAATGAGCCATAGGTTTCCCATTTTCACCAGCTTTGCATTTCTTGAGTTTTGGAAGATGGCACCCTCCGGCTTCTCACCTTTGAGTTTTAATGACCAAGGTTTGAGTCCCAGTTCCATTTAGTATCTGTCTGACTCTGTGAAGTTTGATGAATGCCCTCACCTGTAAATTGGGAGAAGAATGCCTTTTAAGAGTATGGTTGTGAGAAGAATGCCTTTTAAGAGTATGTATGTTCTTGTAGCTGCCAAGAACTAGAAAATAGCACCAGCCTTTAAATATCTCTTTGCTTCCCTGGGGAGCAGGAACCCATCACTAAAACCATTAATCGAACTTTCTTTGACAGATCTCTTTCAAAATGTATTGAGTTTAGTTTCCAAGTCTTAAAAACATTTAAAAATAATTTTAATAGTATATCTGTTTAGTCTTTTTACTATGCAAAATGCCACCATAAATAAACATACAGAATATCCGATCAAAGGGCAGACTAATTGGTCAGCTAATGCATAGCAGCATGTTCTATATTTTTGTAGCTTCTGTTTCTCAAAAGCTATTTGATTTTAATTTATAATGCAGGACCGGTAAACCATTTGAAAGCTAACTGTTAACATATAATCTTAGTAACCTTTTTTGCCATCTGCATAATTCATGAAGCTTAGAGCATTCATCATATCTTTCAATTGAGTAATCTTGTTTACATGTGTCATTGGTGGCTATCACTTTTTTCCTTTACTTTGTAAATCCAAAAAGTGTAATGGAAATTTTTGTATTCTTATTGTCTACCAAAATAAGTAATAGTCTATTATTAATGATAACTTGAGATGGCTAGATTCTATTATGTGTAACAATTGAGCCCTTTTAAAATTAAGGCACCCCATTCTTAACACAGCCCTAAACATTATATAATAATCCAGTATTTGAGAATCAGGATGTCAGTGTTCATCCTTTACTTTTATCTTTGCAAGAAGAAATCATCAAGAGAGATGACTCAGGTCTGGCATTGTGGCTCAGTGGTAGAGCGCTTGTCTAGCACATATGAGGCACTGGGTTCAATCCTCAGCATCACGTAAATAAATAAAATAAAGGTATTGTGTCCATCTACAAAGAAAACATTTTTTTTAAAGAGAGCTGAATCAAGAGAATGCAATTGAGCATTCAGACTTGGGCCTGCTGTCTCTTCTAATCCTGTCCCCTTTCTTTCCTTTCAAGCCAGTCCCTTCCCAGACTCAGAACTCTCTACCTCCAACTCTGTTTAGTTGTTAGCCTCTCATTTTCAAATTCCTCATTCTGAATTCTCTTATATTCTGGCAAGTCAAATGTGGCCTGTTTTATATTGCTCAAAATGGTTCCTTTAACTTATTTATATTGACATTGCAAATTTAAGGTGACAGCTCTACTGTGGTTGTTCAAAAGTATCAATGAAATGAAATCACACCAAAAAAGTACTTGCCATATATAGCATGTCCTTACGAATTACTCACTACTTTTACTTCTAGTTTTGCCATTAAATCATCTACAAACACTTATGAGCATAATCCAGTAATTCATTACCTGACGTTATCTTATACCAAGTACAGTTTAATATTTTATGTGTTCATATAAAGACTATACATTCTTTAAACATATCAGGCCGCCTTCTAGTTATCTGCATACCCTAAACAGAAATAATGATAGGGATACTAACAGCACTGCATTCTAAAATTACATAATTGCCACAGTTCTCCAGGACTGGATTATTATACCATTGCATGGGTGGGAAAACTGAAACTCAAATCGCTTATGGGGACAGAGCCACACTTCGGACTCCACAGTGAAATAGCAAAGCCAGTTGTCTTTCCCACTGTGTGTCTTATCATATTTCCTTGCACTGTAAGCACCCACCAAGGCTTATTATTGTTTGAGTTGTCTTTTCTGATTCTTCTCCCTTGCAGATGGACCCCCACGAAAACATCTTACTGAGCACACTTGAAATCAAAAACGAAATGGCCACATCGGAGGCTGTGATGGGACTTGGAGACCCCAGGAGCACCATGATGGCCTACGATGCCTCCAACATCCAGTATCGGAAAGCCGGGTTGCCCAGGCACAGTTTTGGTCGAAATGCTCTGGAACGACACGTGGCGCAAAAGAAAAGTCGCCTGCGGAGACGCGCCTCACAGCTGAAGATCACCATCCCCGACTTGACTGACGTGAATGCCATAGATAGGTGGTCCCGCATATTCTTCCCAGTGGTTTTTTCCTTCTTCAACATCGTCTATTGGCTTTATTATGTGAACTAAAACGTGGCCTCCCATGGGAATCAAGGACTCGATTCCTCCTCAGAACAGTTGTACAGCCTGACGTAGGACTTGGAAAACACATCAATCCAGGACAAAAGTGATGCTAAAATACCTTAGTTGCTGGCCTATCCTGTGGTCCATTTCATACCGTTTGGGTTGCTTCTTCTAAGTAATGAATACACTAAGGTCCTTGTGGTTTTCCAGTTAAAATGCAAGGGATGTGAGCCCATGATGACAGGATTGAGCTTGAGTATTCCGTTTTCATCTGCATAGTAGGCAGCTACTCAGAGGGGAAACATTTAGAAGATATTCTGGAAAGGCTCAATAGCATTGTCAGTCATTGCCCTAAGATATGGTCATATCCAGACACTCTCTGTGTTCATTCTTAAGGTTGGCGTGCTATTGAAATAGCGCTGTGCTCATGAAACATTATCAGCAGTACCATGCACACATGTTACTTTGGGATGGTCTGTGCCTATGTTATTCAGGTGATCATGATGTCATGGGGAGATAATTACCACTGAACTGGTAGCTTCTCATATAGTTGGAGCAGGATTAGGGTGGGGAGCCCAAGGGGGCTGGGGCCAAGGCAGAGACTTGGTCAGCAATTTGGTCATTGTCTGTGTTTGATGGAGTATGGGGAATCAACTAGGATATCCTTCATTTTGGCATTTAGAGATAGAGACTCTTCTGAACATTATCATACATGGGAGTACCCAAAAAATATTTTGCACAAAACTATTTTCTAGGTGGCTAAAAAGTTAACAACACAAAGCAGAGTCAAAAATTCCAGAAATGAGTGTTGTAACAAATTTAAAGCAAGCAAGCATAACCCTTATCACCGCCCCACAGCATCTGGTCTGTACATACTGTGTCCAGTGGCAAAGGGTAGAGAGAGAATTATTTTTTTTCCAACATCACAAGATTTTGACAGCATATCTAAAGAGGTTTTTATAATTTATCTAATCAGAATACAGTCAGAAAATAGAAAAGTTAGGGGAACTAGAAATATCTTAGATGTTCAGGTTAGATCGGGAGTCATGCAGGAATATAGAATACAGACATGGCTAACAAATAGGTTATCTTCCTTCAAGAGTGCCAGGTATCTCTGGAACATTTCCCTATGAGTTTATTTTTTGAATTGAATAGGGTATTTCAAAAGGAGGATTTGTTTATTGCTTTAAAGGATTAATGGTCCTCTTCAGATTTTCTTGCTTCCAAATTTCTGATAATATTCTTAGAAGATAGGCACAGTAAGCCTTTGGGAGAGTGAGTGAACTCTATTTTCATCTGGGCAATGAAGTTTACCTTTATAATTTTGAAAGCAAACAATACTTTAAAAGAGTTTGTGCATGAAAAAAAGTTTGTGGGTTCACTGGATTTGATTTTCTTAACGGGTGCTTCCATTGTGTATATTGCAATCTGCTTAATCAAGAAAAATATGAAAACTAGTGGACAATAGGGTAATAATAGAGCCACATTAATCTGTTGAGAGTTATGAGCCTTGGTTGATATTGCAGAAAAATATATAACTGATAATTAGGCTGACATGGTATATTGGTTTATTCTACCTTAAATTATGCCATTTGTTTCTTTTTGTATTAATTGGACATATGCATTCATATGTTGGACAGAAATGACAATAGGCTGATAATATTTTATTTCTATCGATGTGAGGCTCATATTTTGCTTTTTGTGTAGAAAATAATGAATTGTTTAATTTTATGTAAAGTTTGATTTGAGTGAACTTTTTCTCAGAAGATGACTTTGCCGTTTCTACTTAGAAAACAAAAGCATCCTCTTTTCAGAGTAACATTTCTAATTATGCATATGGGCCAAGGCCAGTTATTTTCTTGTGGATAAAATGTATGTTTTCTTCCCCTCCTAATTCAGTAGTTTGGAATATTATGGAGTCCTGTTGCTCTCCTATTCTACCTAGTAGAGAACAACAACATAAGAAAAAATAGTTTGTCATTCAACTTTCTGAAATTGCCCCAAGGTGGGATAAAAAAATTTTCCCCAGTGTAGAAAAGTCTGGATTTTATTTCTGATTACATACTTGAACACCTCTGAGTATAATCTCTGGGCAGAATCTGACCACGGATCTTCCCTGTATGCTCAGAGTAGAGGTTTCTCATGTTTCTCCAGGGACATGCTTTCTCCTAGGCAATCATTTTTTGGGGGCATCACACTAATAAAAGTGCCTGCCCCTTGTGGCCAGGGGGTAAAGTTTGAGTAGAAAATAACAGGAAGGAGCTTATCAATAACTCAGGGGCACAAATCTAAAATGTCATTTCAGAAAGTTTTTTCTAGACATAACTCAGAGCCCAAGTCTAGAAGTGGGCTCTTATTTGCAATTTCCATAAAAGCCATAAAAATTCTTAATATTGTCATTCATGATTACAACAAAATTTTGGATGTCTAGGCAAGTCAACGATCTGAATCAATGTGGAGGGATACATCTTCATAGCATGAGCCTCAAATACATATGACCAGGAATTCATTTCTGCTCTCAACGATGTAACGAAACTAGGTAAAGGAGAGAAGATGGAACCTTGAAATGAATGTGTGTCCTAGATTGAAAATCATATATTGGCACTCAGTAAACATATAGATAGAAAAAAACTGACTCATCCTGTCCAGAAATAACAGTAGACATAGAATTTATTCTAAGCTATATGTTTAGTTGAATTTGAATGCAGTCATCAAATGCAAGGAAGGGTGCTAGGCTTCATAAATCCAGACAGCCAGTCAGCTTGATATCCAGTGGTTAAACTAAAGGACCACAAAGGTGTGTTTTTGCAATTCTGATATGATATTACTATCAGTTTATACATATGTATAGTTTTTCTTTTGATTATAAAACTGCAAGATAGCCAGCAATTAAGGTGTTTTCTCATCTTTGTGAAATTCATAGGAAATCTGACTCTAAAATGCACAGTCTAAATGAAATCTTCGATCTCAACCTGTATATATATATTGTACATGACTGCTAGTAGGTATGAAATGCACTTCAGAATTGAAAACCCATGCAACATAATCTTGTGTTTGCAAAGGAATGTTACAATTCTTTCTACTGCAATTTAATAACAGGGGAAAAGACTCAAGCAGTGCCATCTAGACCTTTACTCATTTCTTCAAAAGCAGTGCTAAGTAAAAATATTACTACTACTACTGATGATGATGATTTGTAAACCAAAAGACTTTACCTTCTAGCATTAGGAATACACAAAAATATCGTCAGCTTAAAAAAGCACAACACATAAAGGAAGTGCAGTGGAATGCATAATGGAGAAATGAATCACATTTATTTTGAGCAAGACCTGCATTAAATTGGCAACTAAGACAATTTCCATTTTCTATAGGTAACTGTGTTCCTGTTTTATGATTAACTTCATATTCAAAAACAGAAACAGCAAGACAACATCAACAAACACAGGTCTTACAACATATCTACATGTGTATATGTGTATATATTGATCCATGTAAACATACATACATATATATGCATCCATATGTTGGAAAACAAAAGGAATAAGCTAATACGTTTTGTTTCCTTCACCAAACCAGTGTATATGTATTTTTAATTTAGCAACCAACAATCAACATATTGAAATAAGTAATACAGGGTACTGAGCATTTCTCATATCAGCGCATCAATGCCCAAAGTTCTTATGAACCTTTGCAGAGTTCGACACTACAATAGTACTGTACCTCGGAATATCCAAGTTAACTAGTTCTCACATTGCCTGTCTAATTGCTCTTTTTTAAGGATACAAATAATGTTGTCCATCAGTGATTTAAAAGCAAAAATGTCTTAAGAAAATGGAAAATGATAAAAATTCCTCCTGGGAGGAGAAAAAAAAATGAAACTAAACCCACCATGTTGGTTAGGGAAAAATACAACTGTAGCAATCATGCCATTTTGCTAAGTGTACAAAGTACATGTTATGTGAGCAACCGTGACTTTCACTGAGAGTGTGTAAATATTAAAACAGATTTCTTAAATATTTTTAACTTCTAATTTGTATTTTATGGTAAGGCAACGTGCTAATTCTGTTTATGGCTTAAGTTGATGTGTTCTAATATTATGTAAATAATCAAACATGCTGTAAATGAATAGTCAGTAGATACAAATAATTGTGTTTTTTTAAATTTTTTTGTTTGTATTTACTATGTTTGTATTTACGGTTACTGGAGTGCCCCAGCAGAGTAATTTAAACACCCTTTTGCATAAATGGTTTGGGAATCCCAGACAGAAGGGTTTCAGTTTGCTATCTCATATGCGTGCACACGCACGCACACAAACACCACACACACACACACACAGACTCAAACATTCATAATCTTCCACTCCCCTCTGGTTCACTTCCTCTCACCCTCCCTGCGCTATGAGAAAACCCAGTAGTGTTTTCTGTAGTCAATTTGACAACCAAGAGATAGCCTTATAAATGGAAAAAGGAGAAATGATTATTGATATCTTAATAGAGTTTTTTTTTTAATATGTCAGATTACTAGAAACCAAAGTTTGCAAATTAAATGTCAATTTTCAAAAAGTGAAAGTTTGTATTGATGGCAGTACAGAAAATAAAAATGCTTATTCATAACAGCTCCAGACAATTGCTACACACAATGCACACTAGAAGGTTTTTTTTCTTCTTCTTTTAAACAGTAGCCTTTTTTGTCCATAGATAGTATTGTTCCTTTCAACCAAAGACTCCAGAATTATTTTTTAAAAGGAAAAAAAATAGGGGAAATGGGGGGGTGGGAGACACTGCTTCACACCAAAGGTTTATAAAACATTTTCCAAATGCACTAGAAAGATTGTAGAAACTAGTAAGGAGTCAGCAGGATACTAATAAAGATACTTCCCTAAAGAAACGATTTTTAAAAGTGGGGGTGGGGGGCAACGCTCTTAAATAGCTTAGTTTTTAGAAAATGATAAGTAGTAGAACATTGCTGTAGATGTTAAAAATTCTGACATCAAATTTTAATTTGCTTCAAGAAGTGCTTTTGTGATAAAGATAAATATGATCCAAAATGACGAAAAACAAAATTTATGTTCTTTGAGTTCCTAACCAAATGTCACTCCCCTATCACATTGACCTCTAATCTGATTCCATGTCTGTGTCCTTGTACCAGTTGAAACAAGTTGACAGTTCCCTCAGCTTACTTTATTTTTTGGTCCAATAATGAGAATTCAGCCATGATAATTTTGAATCTAATTAACTCAAACAAAGTTGCCTATAATTAATTCCATACATTTTTAATTTTCCTTTGCATGGGTGTTTAAATAGTTCTGTTATAAATACTGTCCCTGCATAGTTCTGAACTGTCCTT